CCTTGGTGTGGAGGCACTTTGGCTATAGTCTGATGTGGAGGCTGTGTGGGTGTTGGCCGGACTTTGGTAGTTGCGGTTGGAGGCAAGCTTGGTGAGCGGCTATCACTAGTGGAGGCCTCAGGGCTCTGTGGCACATCCTGTGTAGCTTGTTTGTTGAAGTACTCTTCAAGAGGCGGTGTTCCAGTGCTGCCCGCTCCTTTGCAGGGCTTTTTGAAAGCCGTGGTGAGGATGAGTCTTTGGTGCGTATCCAAGTGAAGACTCAGTCCACACTGTGTGCAATTGACTCGGTTGCCCTTTTGCCAAAGCACATGACTTCGGTGGCCCCCATGGGAGTCCTCATAGGGCTGGTCCTGTACGAAGGTCTGAAAGATCTGCTCATTGCTGCGTTTGTGGACATTGGCTCCACACTTGAGGCAGCGAAGATATCCAGTGGTCTCTTCAAGCTGATGCTGTTGCCGTGCTGGGGTCTGGTCCCGCTGTTGTTGCAGGATCTGCTTGATGACCTGCTGTCTGGTCTGTTTTTTCGGCATTGGTTGATGGTCTTGTGCTGGTTCAGGTGGCCTGCCTTCAGGGCTAGGCTGGGAACAGTCAGCTTGTAGATGTTCTTCAAGCACCTGCACTGTTAGGCCCTGGTGCACTCTAAGGCCACAGGCTCCACACTGGTAGCCACTCCTGTGGGGCATCCATCTGTGATGAGGAGCTTGCCATGGTTGTTTGCATTGAGCAATGAGCTGCTTCTTGTATTGTTTTGTGTTCTTGGCCTGGTGCCGATTGCTTTTCTGATGGATATAGTGATCCTTGTTGTTGACGATCTGTGCCAGGCGGTTGATGGCATGTTGGTAGATGAGCTTGTGATCCTCACCTAGGACTTTCTGCCAGTCTGTGCTCCTGCTGTTCTGGAAAGTCTTTGCTCGTTCCCATGCTGTCAAAGCTGCATCCCTTTGTCTGCGTCGTAGTTGGGGTTCACTGCCAGGTGCCTGTGGGGACTTGGTATTCCTGGCCACATAGAGCACTGTGACTCTTTGGTAGTCCTGTTCTGTGATTTGCTCAAGCTGATCTAGGAAGGGTCCTCGATGCCTTTCTTGTGTCCATGCTTCCCACACACTGATCAACTGGACGATGACTCGCACCTGGGTGGTGGTATGCTTTGCCAAAGCTACTAGCCCTTCCATCAATGCCCTTGCTTTGTTGTGTGGTGCAGGTGGTGCTCCAGTGATGGCTGCTAGTCTTTGCAAATGTCCCAAGGACATGGTGTGGGCACAGAGGCCGAAGATCCAAAGTTGATCTCTCTGGTCATAACTGGATGGTGTGGCATCCAACGTGAAAGCCCAGCCTTGGTGTGGATGCGGAGCCAGTTGCTGTAGATCTTGCCATGCCCCATGTCCGTGGTAGGGTTGCGCAATGGTTTTGGCTTCTTGTGGTTCCAGAGGTATCCAGCCGACAGTCCACAAAGGTGTTTCATCATCAGACAGGATGCGTTCAGCCCACTCCGCCGGCATTGGTTTGTGCTTTTGGGTGTGATGCCATTTGCACAGCCACAATATGTGCTTCACTGTTGCTGGGACTTTGCAAATGGGGCACTCTTTGGCTTTGCCATCTTCTTTGTAGTGCAAGGCTGCCTGCGTCCAGGTGCGCAAGTGAGCACAAACCAGGTAAGGTTTTGATCAGTTGCCGATAGACGTGCCAGTCCAATCCTGTCACCAAGTGTTGATGCTGAGGTTTTCCGGCCAGCCTGGAAATGCGCTGGTCTTTGGCCTCCTGCTTCAAAATCCGTTCTAGCTTCCACCAAGGATCTTGGAGCGTGATCTCCTCGTCCAGCAGAAGAGAGTGACCAGACCTGTGCCAACGATTGAGGTCCTGAGCCTGCCATTGCCATTCCAGCAGGTAGGCTATGGTGGCAGCCATAGGGCCTTTGACCACATACCAGGGGTGCTGCTTGGCCTGGAGTTGTGTGTGGAGCTCAGTCCATGCTTGCTGGAGATGTGGTATCTGTTCCGGTGGCCATGTGTGATAGAGAGTGTGCATGGCCTTGATGTGGTGCAGGATGACTTGATCAGCTGGATTGATGTACTTGTTGCGATATCTTGGTGCAAGTCCTTGGGATTCGACTCCCCACAAGGCCACTGGTTGGATTCGTAGGCGAACTTTGAGTGCAGGAATCTTCAGGGATCGCAGCTTGATCCGCTCATGCAGAAGTCCTTTGAGGGCGTGCTCTGTATTGCGATCTGTTGCAATGAAGGCCGTCTTCTTTGGATTTACTTTGAGCCCGATTGCCGTGAGCCTTTGGTGGAGGTCGCGGTAGGCTGCAACAGCCTGTTGGGCCACTTGAAGTGCCGTGCTTCCTTCCATATCAAAGCCTACGTCGTCAACCCAGCTGGACAAGTGAGCTGTTGGATGTTGCTCTTTCCATGGGATGAGGGCCGGTGCCAGCACTGCTTTGGCGAGTAGCGGTGCTTGAGGACATCCTGCTGGGACGCCATGGTCGACGTGGAAGAAGGGGGTCAGCTTTTGCTCAGCCAGGATGGCCTTCGGACCGCAGTAGAGCTGCAATGCAAGTTCCAGCATCAATGGTGGATAGTCCAACCCAATGGCCTCTTCTTGCAACTTGCAGAGGTTGATGGTGTCATAGAAGGTGGACATATCCATGAGGACGGTGACACCATGCTGCTGCCTGGCCTTCGTGACCTCTTGCCTGAGGAGTCTGGCCAAGGCCACATGCAAGACATTGGCCCCTGGTCGTGCCTTGTCATGACTCATAGTGTCAGGCAGAAAGCGCTGTCATTGTTCCAGTAATGGCTTGCTGAGACGACAATCTCCATAGTGTCGATGTGAGGGTGGGCCTCTCGAGCTTCTGGTTCTTTGGAAGCATGACCACAAGATGCATTTGCAACTGGGTTGGAAGTGCAGCCGTTCTCTCCATCTGATGTAGCAACTGCAGCAGGGGTGGCAAGGCCAGTGGTGGGATCGATTTGAGCATTTGAACGGAGACTGCATCCGGTCCACTGGCTCACTCTGGCATGGCCTTGAGGGCTCGTTGAAGCTGGCTAGAGTTATTGGGTCCAGTGTCTGAGCTTGTCTTTGGGCCATCTGTCTGAGGTCTGGTCTTGGAGCAGGGTCGTTGTCCTGTCTGATCTTCCAGAGTCCTCCCCAATCGGCAAGCCGCTGATTCATCCGCTGAGGCATGGGTGTCATGCGATAAGGTCGTTCCCAAGCAAGTTCACTGCTCTTCAGACTCCGGAACAGACCTTTGAGGCCTTTCTGATGCCCTTCCTGAAGCCATTGGCGGTATTGCAGGGTGCTCTCTTCCTGGGCATGCTGTTGTGCTTCCTGTAGTTGATGTGCCATGGTCTGTAGGATCAACTCTGCTGCATGTGGATCTCTGTAGCTGATCCAGTGATGGCGTGTGTCAAGAAACTGTCCCCACGTAGGTGCTCCAATCCATTGCTGTTGCACTTCCTTCAGTCTTTGAAGGAAACCGCGGATTGGGCCAGTCTGGACGTTGGGAGGCAATTGTAAGGCCAAGTGGAAGACTGCCTTGATCTGGTCCCAGAATGCTGGCTTGCCTTTGCGCCACGTGTGGCCTTTGGGCTGGAGCATCAAAGGTTTTGTGACTGCCTGCAAATGATGCCCGCGGCCTTGAGCTGCCCACGGGTTTTCCTGGAGGAGGTATTGCTCTGTTTTGGAGAGCCAGTCTGCCCAGGATTGTGCTGCGTCATTTGGAGGAATGCCATACAGGTCAAGGTTGTGTGCCTGAGACTGGTACGTAGTCCATGGTCGGAAATCAATGTCAGGCACCTTTGGCATCGGTGGGAAGTATGGCATCTGGCGGTACTCCATGGTTGCAGCTTCAATGTCAAAGGTCAATTGTAGCAGTGCATGTGGTCGCCAAGGAACCGCCCAGTGTGCTTGGATGGAGGTGGTTCCCGCCAGTGAGTTATGCAGAACCGCATAATCGATGGTGTTGCCGGACAGCACGCTATGGTCTGGAGCCAAGATGCCAAAGTAGAACTTGGATGGCAACACAGTGCTGGCCAGTGCACTGGGATGGTTCTGCCAGTCCCCAATGAGTACATAAGGATGTGTGGTTTGGGAGAGCAGTGTCAAAAGCTGAGGCAGGATCTCCGAGTTGATGTCACTCTGAAAGGTTTCTCCTGTCCACAAGTACAGTCCGACAACCAGAATGGTAGTTTCTGTGGCTTGCCAGAGAAAACTTTGGTAGCCGCAGCCTTTGTTGGTGTAGGACTGGAATTGTGTGAGGCCACATGCAGGATCAGCCACCACCATGATGCCTCCGTGAGTGCCTGTTTGATCCTGATTGGGTTCAGCTGGTGTACCAAACACTGTTCTGCCACGGATGCTGAAATATTGACATAGCTCCCAGTGTTTTTGTGGGTCCAAATGGGTCTCCACAAAGATGTAGATTCCGCTGTCTCTGGTCCAGTACCAGTCTATGACTTGTTTGCCCAGGTTGGTGACATTGGCATAGTAGAGGGAGTTGTGATCCTGCGCATACCTGGCCCTCTTCACTGGACTTGGATGCAGTGGAGGATCGAAATCCGGCTCTTCAACTGGCGGTAGTCCCTGCAAGACTTGTTGTGGTGTCTTAAAGCAATCGATGTTGACTGCCCATACCTGAGTGATCTGACTGGCCAGTGCCGGTGTAAGGTGAGGCAAATGCTGCGGGACCTTGCCATCGTCTGCTAT